CAAAACAAGAAACGTTTTTACTATTTTAATTTGAAGAGGTTCAAATCAAAAGGTTAGTATTTTTGCATATTGCTTTGAGGTTTTTAAGATAATTAGAAAAGGAACTGAAAGCGTGTCGACTAGGTAATAAACTTGACGTACAGTAAGCTGAAAAAAAAAGGATAGTTTGAAGGAAAGAGCGCAGATTGCCGATAAGAAGCACAAGCTGTATAATGTTAATCAACACGCGGTGAAAAAATTAGTGGACGACCTACTGTGAATGTCCTTCCTTTCTAACTAAACAGGTCATAGACACGGTAAACGATAAATTCCATTCCATCTTAAAAAAAAAAAGAAAGCAAACAAATAGAGCTGATATGTAATTTAAACCTCTATGAGATTTTTTTGAATAGAGTGGAGGAGAATTGGTTTCCCTATAATGACAAACATCTTTTTACTCACATGAAATATTTTTTTGTTATAGTTTTATTATAGAAATCTAAAAAAAAAACCGTGTGAAATTTGCTGATTTACGCGAATAAAGTTGAAACTTAAGCCGAATTTGATTTGCAAATTTGTATGGAACAAATTAACATTTTAGTATAATGGTTAGACACATTCCAACACTCGCTTTTTTACCTCCGATTGAATTTCTTGCATCATTCGATATGTCGAAAGATAAAGTGCCAGGGGAGGCGGATGGTCTTATGAAATGGTTTGAAGAGTATTACATACTGTATGTGGTAGAGTAAGTCATAGAACAGCAAATGGAAATTCTTAAAGAAAGGATCTCTTATTTCTCACATAATATTGATTATGGGCTTCCTAGAACGCAAAACTCAGTTGAAGCCTGGCATAGAAAAAATTGTGGGCTTCTCTTTCTGGTTTGGTTTCTCGGATTATATTAGATTCTTTATTAGGTGGTACACATGTAGGTGTATTTAAAATGATTAAAGAAATCCAAAAGAGCAAAATAGAGTACAACATGATATTGAATCAATTTTGGGAGGTGCACCTCGACCTTAACAAAAAAGAAGTAGCCGACCACGAAACATGAAACTCAAATTCAGACAATGTATAATAATCGTTCTAATATGTCATTTATAGAATATCTGCGTGCTGTCTAAATTCTGATTTGTTAATTAGAAATAAACAACCACGTGTATACAAACAAACCAATTAAATTTTAATAATAATAATATGAATCAAAAGTAAACGCGTATCTAATAAATCCTTTGCAAATTTATTGACTATAGTAAATTAGTCAATCATATTAAAATTAACATCTTACTATATCAGATATGCTAAGTTTGAACTGATTAATTAAATGCTATAATTTTAGTTTTACTGTTTTGTAATACTATTCAACATTTTTTTTTTTTAAAAAAAAAAGACCACCCTTTGAGATTGAGAGCCATTATCCGGTTGGCTCACCTTAGGGATCTAACTTAGGATTCGCCGTTTACTATCGTACACTAATCACAAGCCCACTTTACTCTACATAGACTGAATTTTTTTATTCATAACCTTATTACTAGATATAGTGATCGATCAAAATTTTAGATTGTTATATGATTGATCGTTAGTAATCGGTCATGCTCGATCATTTTTTTTTTTCATATTTTTAGGCTAGGATAGTGTTATAAATTAAATTTAATGGTTAATACATTGTATTTTGGTTATTATATGAAATAGCAATAAAAATTTTAGCGATCAATAAAGTTAAATAATTTGTCGTTGTGATCGATCATCTCTGCAAGGTATTATATTATTACCGTTACATACTAATTCTTAAAAAGATTAAATTTTAGTCTATATTACCTTATAACTCGCCTTAGGCTAAGAAAATCTCCTTCCACACGAATAAAACAAGCTGCTAAAACAAAAATTCGATAGTTAGAATCATGATTAAGAACTTGATTTTTCAAAAAGTTTGCGGTGATTATTGCCAAATCCGAATTAGCTGATCACAGTAAATTTTTTGAATTTGGGATAAAAATAAAAAATTATTATTGATAAGAATTTAATAGAGAATATAATGTTTTCTGCATATAGTGAAGACTTAAAATGGTATATCATATTTCTTTGACATGATGGTTATTCTAAAAGACAAGATTGTAGAACTTTTTATATTATAGATGGGACCCAAACTATTTGGGACAAGTGATAAATTAGCATCACATGTTTTCGGCAAGATGCCGAAATTAATGTGATGCAAAATTATCACTTGATTTGGGACGTCCCAAATAGTTTGGGTCCCATCTATAATAGAGAATATTATCTAAAAGAAGATATTGTATTATCTAAGAGAAATTAATACATTTTTAATATCAATTAATTGGTCAGGTTCAAAGGGATTATATTTACATTTACTTTTTATTAATAGTTCTTTTTATCTGATAATCAATTCAAACTTTCGAACAAATTCTCATAGAGAACCCGTGACTAATGTTTTCTATGGGATTAAAAATAATTTAGTTGTCGCACTTATTGATCCTGGCTGATCAAAATTTTTTGACCACCAAACTGGTAAAATTTTATCGGCTTAGTCGGCTTAGCCGATAGTACGAAATGAAATGGTGAACCCTCAAAAAATGCCGTCACTTTGACCTGCATTAATGTAATCTATGCCTAATTTTTTTAATCTCAAAAATCATATGGAGAAATGTCTAATTGGAATTCTTACTATAATAAAAAGCTTGTAAGCTTGTATGCTATTAAAACTCGTAAGTAACTCGTAAGTAGAGATGTAGTAGAAACTTTGATATAATTTCATTTAATTTGTAAGGTAAAATTAATTGGTTTTTAAAGGTTAGGGAGTAGTTAAAAGAAGTATTTGTTTAGAAGGTTTTAGTTTTTGATATATAAAGAAGATCTGATTTTAGGTTTATTTAGATATTATTAATTCGGTAGAGTTCTAAGACCAACTCGTATTTTTCGGCTCTTAAGTGCATTTACAGCTTAACTAGTCATGGCATAGGTTGTAACAGTTTCTACTGCATTTCTACTTGTAAGCGATTCGTTACATTCACTAATAAAATAATCACATTTAATCTCAATAGACTTAGCTGCTATCAATTTAAATAATCATAAAAAAAACTTAAAAATCGCCCAATGTAAAAATTTTTAGGATATGTTTACTCTATGGAAAAATTTACTAATTTACCTAGGAGTATTTTACTTAATGAGTGCTATTATTTTATCAAATTTTATATATATATATTTTTTTTATTAATCTCAGCAGCTATGCCAGAAGTCATGTTACAGTTCTTTTGGTCGACTTAAATGAATTTATTACTTATAAAGTCGACCAACTGAGCCGAAAAATTGGTTAAGCCAATTTTGTCAATATCACTATCTATTGTAATAGATTAATTAGAATTGATATATAGTTGTTATGACCTTTATTAGAAACACATCATGAACCTTAGTTTATATACAGTACAATAACTGTGACGTTCCTACTGGTTTGACCTGCATTGATTGAAATGTTGAGAGGTGTTGTTAAGCCCAAAGGGTATCACCAAAACTCGTAAGTGTCAGAACTGGTTGCAAAAGCGGTCTTCTCACGATCTTCTTCTTTTACACACACTTGCCAATATACTGACATCAAATCTAATCGAAGGTAGACTTGTAATAGGAGCTACGCATCTATACGGTCGTTTATCTTCTACGTTTATTCTTGTGCAAGTTCCCTTCTAACAAAAGAAATCAAAATAAAGTGCGTGAAAGTAGATACACATATAACAATATTAATAAAAACATAATAAAGTAAAGAATAAGAAAACGGTAATAATAACTGTGAAAAAACGAAGATAAAAAGAATAAACAGCGAAAACAAAAAAAAGAGATAGATTGATAATACCGATCACGATTAAATACTCAAAAACTTTAAGAAATGATTAATATCAGCTGATTTGTGGAATTGGACCTAGTATTTAGTACCTGAATAACTGTTCATAGGTTGCTCTATTACGTGTAGTTTGGCTGCCCCAAAGTTACGTCAAATGATTATTAACATCAATTACATGACTCCAGATCAATAAATATTTTAGTTCAACTAAAACATGACCATTGACAATCAAACAAGAATTAA